TGGCGCCTTGCTTCCAACTCGTGTACCATGGTGACTGGTGCGCTCTGGAATTTGACTCCACATTGGGTTATCCTGGCGAGGGACCGCGATGGTCCATTATTTCTGCGAACATCGACTCCTTTGCCACCAATGCCAGCTGCTTACAATGGAATGCAGATGCTTTCATGCTGCAGGAAGCCAGGGTGGCTGATTCCAACATGACCGAGTCGCAGAGGAAAGCTGCTCTTTGCAATTTTGGCCTTTTCTGCTCTCAGCCTTTGCACAAACTGCGCGCTAGTAATGGCACTTTCAGGATTCCTTCTGGCGGTGTTGCCACTTGCGCTCACAAAGAACTCACGCAGATTTTTGAGGACAAAATGGATGTTTCTGGAGCTTGGTCTATCCTTCGTGCCACTTGCCGGGTCACAGCTACTTGGCACCAGGTATCTGCAAGCGTTAAGTTGTTGGCCTTCAACTTCTATGCCGTTGCCAATGCTGCGTCTGAACGACCTAAATTTGAGCGGAACAATGAGATGCTGGATCAAATCTTTATGGTCGCATCCCAATTTGCTGATATCCCTATTGTCATTGCAGGCGACTTTCAAATGGAGCCGGGTATGTACCCTTCTGTGCAACTCGCCCTGGACCACTGGGGATGGGCGGACCCCCTGCTCCAGACCGATGATACTGGAGAGGTTATTCGGCCTTGCATCTTTTTTCAGCACGCGGCTTCTGTTGATGAAGGGCAATCCTCTATTGACGGTATTCTCATGAACCGCACTGCGCTCGCAGCCTTGATTCGTATAGAGGTTTTGGGCCACAGAGACCGCCAACATCGACCTGTCCAAGCAACCTTTGCCTGGGATCGTATTGCTCAGGTTGGTACCATCATGCAACGGTCTGCTGCCCTGGATCTCACACAGGTCACGACCTGTAATGTGGCTGACCCTGCCTGTCCAGTGAACACCTTAGCTGAACAGATGTGGCGACACCATGAGCAAGATTTTTCCAACGAGTCCGACCCCTGCAAAAGATGGTCGATCTTTAATCACTTTGCCACGCATGTGCTGCTGGTGAACGGGGCTACTTGGGAGAAAGGTCCGCGAGTGCGGGGTCGCCTTCCCAAGTTCTGCAAAACCACCATGGCTACTTCGCAGGAGGCTAATGGCAGTGTGGCCTCGCCACGGCTTCAGTTGTTGCAGGCATGCCTCCGATCCCTAAGAGAGCTTCAAGTTCGTCTTGGACGACCGTGCACTGGCACTTCGGACTATCATACGTTACTCAACACCCAACGACGGCTGCTCCGCAGATTGAAAGAAGCACAAGTCGTTCCCGGGGCTGTGAAAACACTCTTCCTGCAGGATTTGCACCATGTGGCGGAGCTCGTTTTGGCAGCCATCAACCAGGAGCTGCAGCAATTGAAACTTGCAGCCATTCGCAAGTGGAGACAAGCAATGAAGAATGCTACCACCTCCTTGACGATAGGGAAAGTTGTCTACCAGTACCTCAAGAGGAAAGGCCGCGTGGTGCCGCAAAATCTCATTGAGGATGACTCTGGGAATATTGTCTTTGATCCGCAGACTGCAATGGATGTGATTGCTAACAAGTGGGATGCTGTTTTCTCAGTGAATGTGAGTCACCAGCATGAAATGCAGATCCTGAAACAAGTTTGGCCCTATATTCATGACAAAGCTCGCCCTGTTGCCCTACCGCCCATCACAGCCCGGCAACTTTGGGAACAGGCCTTGCGCCGGAAACCTGAAGCGGCAGCTGGTCTCGATGGGTGGCGTACGCGTGAAGTTCAAGCTCTTCCACCAGCTGCCTTTCAACCTGTTGCCGATCTCTTCAATGATATTGAAGCAGGATACTCTGAGTTCCCGGTGATCCTTACTCAGGTGCGAGTGATCATTTTGAACAAGGATGGGAGTGACGCTCCGCTGGCAAAAAGGCTTATTGCCTTGCAGTCCATTTTCACTCTTCTATACACCGGCCTGCGTTTCCTCCAGTTACAAAGTTGGCAACAGCAGATTATGCCTTCACAGCTGAAAGGAGGTATCAAGATGCGCCAAATGTCGGAGGTCCACATGACGCTGCAGCTTGAGATCGATCATGCGCACAGCTTTCAAGGCCACTTTGCAGCCTTGAAGCTCGACAAGTCGAAATGCTTTGATCGTTTGATGCCTAAGCTTTGTGCTGCAATTATGTTGGCATTGGGCCTTCCAACGGGCTTCGTGCGAGCTTTCCTATGCCTCTATTTGAGGATGACGCGTTTCCTTTCCTTCAAACAATGGACCAGAGCTGCTCCGATCTCCACGCCAAACGGCGTCGTGCAGGGTTGTTCGCTCAGTCTTCTTTGTATCAATCTCCATATGGCCATTTGGGCTTGGCTGATGGAGCATATTGAGGGAATGGATTTCCGTGCCTTCATTGATGACACATACTTGTGGTCGCGGCAACCTACGATTGAGGGTCTTGTCTCCGCTGTCAAAGCCACTGAATTGTGGGATTCTCTTTGTGGCCAATTCCTGAATGCAAGCAAATGTGAGGTCTTTGCCACCACCCCTGACCTCCGACGTGCCCTAAAAGCTGCGTTTCCGGAAATGCGACTTGTTGAGGTGGTGAACATCTTGGGAGCCTTTGTGCAAACAACCAAGAAGAATGTTGGTTCCTTTCCTGCTAGCAAGATACAGGCTGCTCTCAGAGATTGTGAGGTTATTCGCACCTTGCCTTGTGATGGGTATAAGCGAGCTCAGATCTTGGCCACCAAGGTGCTGCCGCAGATTGCATTTGCGCCGCATTTGAACTTTATCCCCAAGCGGGCCTTGGCCCGCCTTCAAAGTGCTGTAGCGGACTCCTTGTGGCAAGACAGACCTAAATGGCGGTCGAAGCATCTCCTTCTTTGCATTGTGTACAAGGCCCACAAGTTGGATCCATTCCTCTGTCGTGCGGTCACAACAATTGCTGAATCGGTTCGCTTCTTGCAATATTCCGTGTATGCACGGCAGCAATGGGCGCAGCTTTTTGAACAAGACCAACTTACTGCACAAGCATGGATGACACAATTCAGTCAGGCCTGCCAGATCCTGGATATTGAGTGGGTCCACACCTTTGAATTTTCGGTTTTTGGGTCTGCGCCTGTCAACTTTCTGGGCTTCTCGGTCCCTGACCTGAAATGTTTGCTGAAGAGTTTGGCTGCCAACAAATGCTACCATACTGCCTGCCTCATGCCAAGGAAAGACATCAGTACGGCTGTTGGCTTCCTTGACACCACGATGACGCTTTCAGCAAAGAAGAGGTTAGCAGCTATTCCTCATGATGGTTTTTCCTTCCTATTCTTTTGGGAAAGTGCGGTGACAGGTTGCACTTTGACAGCTGACAGGCTTGCTGCAGCCGGGCTTGCTGACCAAGCCAATTGCCGCTTTTGTTCTGCTCCCAAGGAATCCGTGAGCCATTTCGTATACGAGTGTGACTCCTTGCCCGAAACGGTCCGGCAACCTTCGACCAACTTCTTCTTTGGCCCTAACTTCAGCACACTGGGCATTGTTGAGATTCCTTTGGACACTATACGCGATAAACTGCAAGTGTCCAGCATTTCGGAGGTTCCTGTGTCTCAATGGACGGCAGTGCAGGAACAGGTTCAACATGTGTGGACGGATGGCTCCGTGCAACTGACAACCTATCCATGGCTGACCATTGCATCCTTTGCGGTCATTGCGGCTGATGAATCTATTATAGCTGTTGGTCGGGTCCGCCATTGGCGCCTGTCCAGTTATTCAGCTGAGCTTTGGGCCATTGTGGTCGCCTTTGCCAGAGCAGAACAGCCGTTGGTAATCCACACGGATTCCCTTACCATTGTCAAGCAGTTCCTGGTGTTGCTTCAAACTGAAACAGTTCAGGTCGAATGGACCCATGCCAATTGGTGGAGCTTCATTTTGGATCAGCTTCTTCACCGGAAAGAGCTCCATTGCAATTGCTTTGGTGCCCTGCTCATTTGTTGGAACACGTTCCTAGCCAGGCACTCACGGACGAGTTGGCAACTAAAGCTGGGTCTACTCGTCAGGACATCATTCTTAATAGGCTGGCTGACAACTGTGCCAAGCAGCATATTGCCCAACTTGCCTACGAGACGAGTAGCGGGCTGCACCTGATGGAGCATGATGTTTTTGCCAGGCAGCTATGGTTGAGCCAGCTAAATAGAATGTGTAAAAAGCCTGCCGATTCCGGTACACCCAAAGGTCATGTCTCCCCTGAGCCTGCTATTCAGTACTCTGCTAGACAGATGTGTCCCAAGTGGCCATGGGACATCTCGCAAGCTTTGTTTACATGGCAGGTCGACATTGACCTTAATTTACCCTTTCGAGCCACGTCCACCTTGACGGAGAACAACTTCCGCACCTTTCTACGCTTTTGCGCCTCCTTGCAGTGGCGTGTCGGGGATGGATTTGCTTGCTCAGTCTTCGAGTTGGCCGTTGTGGCATTTATACGTGGTTGGAGGTTTGAACTGCCTCATGGAACCATCTGCACACCTCAAGCCTTCGCCAGCTTGATTCGTTCGGGTTTTGCCTATTGCAAGCAGAAAAAGGTCGTGGTCGCGCCTCTGTTGCTTGACAAACGCAACAAGAGTAATGGCAAGACCTTTCCGAAGGGTGCTTTCCTCGGGGCTGAAGCGTATGTTGAGAATGCTGCATTGGACATGCTTGCACGTGCGTTTGCCAAAGGTGCCAAAGCAACACCTTGGTCTTGGAGTATCCCGTTTGACAACCTTTTGTAGTCTTGGCTACGAGTGACCCTAGCTGCGGAATGCGCTGGGGTTGCCACCGACTCGGAGTCGCGGCTTGAGATCAAAAAGGAAGCTCCCCCCGCCATCCTAAAGGCGACGGGGGGAGCTTCCTTGAAGAAGCGCTCGCACTATTCATTTGGTTCCTAGATTCTTTTGGAAACTTAACTATCTTAACTAGTTCCTCATCTCTGATGTCTGGCTTGGATTGGCTTGGCAGGTGCAAACGAGTCCCGCATCCCGCCTGTTTTTGTCATAAGCTGCTTTCAGTGCTGAATTGGAGAGGACATCATGGGCAGCGTTTATTTTGGCTCGATTCCGCTGATCTGCCTGCGATGAACTGGCAGATTGCAAACTCAAAAGCCTAGTTGCAGGATCTCCACAGGCAAAGCCTGCTGCTTGGATGTGAGCTTCGTCATGGCCTGGGTCTATCCAAGTGACTTAATGTTATATTTGGTCGCAAACAAAAACAAAACTTCAGTCGACATGTGACATGAGGTTTAGGCACGCTTGAAACCAGTGGTAATTTCAGCTGGTGTAGCATCAGCTGGGAGCCCGAGGGTCGAATAGTGGTCCTCCAAGCTCAAGGCAAAAGCAAAATGAGCACGACATCCGATACAGCAAATGTATAGCCTCTAGAATCTTCGTCTGGATGCTTTCTGCAATATCCTGAGTGTGCACGATGTTGTCCAAATCGGTGTTGTCGTTCTGAGGCAGGGACTTTCAGTTGTGTGACCTCATGCAGGATCGCAATGACGACAACCTCGTAGCAGCAATGCCCATCCAACGACAACAACCACAGGTGCTCATACTCGGGCGCAAACACAGAGGGCAATGCCCAGCAGGGCCTTCTTTCGGGCACACCACAATTTCTGTACACACCACAATTTCTGTACAGCAAGTCTTGATGTCCGCACCAACACGCAAAGCCAAGGCCTGCCGTTCAATTCGCGACAGGAACATCACCATCACATTCACATTGGCGAACGGCGAATCCAAGTATCCTGCAACCTGCTGCTTGCAAAGTTATACTATCTTTGAACTCTGAACTATTGACCATTGAGGCAACCTTTCTGCAGAAGTTTGTAGCCTTCTTTGAGCCTCAAACCTCAACCACGGTTTCAATGCATCAGAACTCTGGGTCTTGAGACTTTCGAGGATGGAAAGTGCTCAAGAGTGGGCTCACGGTAACCACTTTGCTTTGCTCACAGTGATGCAAAGTGCCCAAAAACGTGCTACGGCGGCAGACACTTGTTTATTGAACTTTGCATTCTTCGCCCTCCTCAATTGCAAACTCCTTCACAGGTGCTGTTTCAGCTGGAGTCTCAGAATCCTTTGTTACAGGAGGCTGTGAGTTTTTTGGAGCTTTGCCAAAAATGCTATTCCCAGAACTTGGGATGAGCTCGTTTTTGTACGAGGCCAATTCCCACTTTGTCAGTATTCTGGCTTGTCCGCTCCACTGCAAACGATCCCAACTTGCTCTTGGACTACGGAGCAGGACTGCAAGACGAGGTGAGTTGTTCACCTTCAGAAACATTAAATGCACAACACAACAATTCCCGAAGAATATCCACAACTGCATACTGGCATGTCAAGCGGAAAGTTGTTAGCATGGCTATTGGTAAATTCATGTACATTCGGTACAGCTTATGTATCAAACCTCGCTCTGTCACAATCCAGCTAAAGAACTATCTTAATGCAAGTCAACAACCGGTCCTGTATCAGGAAATGAACCCATATTCTTGTAGAGCGGTCTTGGTGCGAACACAGTAGGCTGAAAGTGTGAGAGATCCAAGTAGAACACTTCGATATCCGGTACTCAAGATCTTCCTTGTCATGACAAAAGGCCATCGACATCGGTTCTTTCCTTTGTTTGATGCTCAAGTGTTGCAGAGAACCTGAGCTTTGTTCTGCAGCTCCTCCAGCCATGGTGGGCTACATTTTCAGCCTGTCAGCTGCATCTCTCAGTGCTCAGTAGGTGGTCACGAAAACCTTGTGGTCCTTACTTTTTTCACCGCAAAAGTGCCATGCTCGGATTGGATAAGGGCTTCCCTGCCCCGGCCGCCAGCCGCCTCTGCATTTGCACTTTGATCTCTTTGGTGTCGTCGGGACCGTTCCTCTCTAATCTTGATTTCACTATACAGGCATTTGGCTGACGCTCTCCCGCAAGTTACCGGAGACCTTGGCAGCGGGCCAGATTTGTGGCTCAGTGGTTCAGGCCAGGAGGCAGGGCCTGAGTCTTGTTTCTTGCGAAATGGGCTTCGTGGGCTGTACCCCTCACGATTGCCGTCTGGCACTTGCTCTTTGATTTCGGAATTAATTTATGATACTGGACTTTTTGGGCTACCTCTCAAATTTGCTGCTGCAGATCGCCGTGTGGTAGCTGCATGGATTTTGTACGGTGCAGCCTGTTGACTTTCCCTTCTTTGCGGCCTGCAAACTGAAGTCCAGTGCTGGAGGGTTGGGATACTTTGCCATACCGATGGCAGTGATACAGGTGCGCCACCATTTTGCAAGTTGACTCTACTCAGCAGCCAAACGCTGGCGAAGGAAAAGGGAATTGCCGATTTGATTTGACAAGGGCCTTACTGCTTACACGCACCTGGAATGTACTTCAACCCATGGTCACTGCAGAGGAGTGTGGGTACAAGAATACACATCCGTGCAAGCAATCGACCACGTGCAATTACTGTGCTTACTCTAATGTGTGTGCGTATATATATATATATATATTTTGAATAATATGCAACGCTGTCGCAATACCCTTCCAACAATTTCGGGATCCATCATCATGGAACCAATTTCAAGCAGACTATTGGGAACCAGAAATGCCATCAACCGAACCATGGTTGGGAAACGGAGACCTTCACATCAAGCAAACATGAGAAACCTGAAACTTGGAAAGCTGAAAACTTGACGGTGCGGGCTTGAGACTCCAAGATTTCAGCTGTTAACAAAGAAAAGGAAAATGGTTCCTTTTGTCCTTTTTTTGTACTAGCGATGGCTGCCAACCTGGTAGCGATGGCCTCCAACCTCCTCCATGGCCTCCAACCTACTAGCAATGGATTCCAACCTACTAGCGATGGCCTCCAGTTCAAATCTGAAGCTTGGTAGCCGGCCCTCGCCAAGGACAACCTGAGTTGAAAGGTGTTGACAGTTGAGCATTTCCTCAGGTACGAGCATTTCCTCACGGCGGACATCAGAGCTTTCACCAATGCACGCCGATGCCACATTTCGCAAGCCTCGAGGTAGTCATTGTAGATCTTTGTATAGAGTAGCCCTTCCTTGCCATGTTCTGAGTCCTTGGCCATCAGGCCTATGCATCGCACTTCAGCTGCTACGAGAAAAGGTTTGCACGCTGCGGAGAGGCCTGTTGTTTTGGACAGCATGTGGATGGTCATGGAAGCATCCGTGGGGATCTTCGGTTCTTTAGAAGCTACGGAGTCAAAAACTGAAGCCGCGTCTATGACAAGCTCTGTTTGCAGGGGCATGTCACCTGTCTCAAACTTTTCTTCCAGCTCTTTTGCTGACATTGGACCTGTCAACAACTCTGCAAGCACCAACGAAATGTTGATAAGCAATCCCATTATGTCTAAAGCACTATACAGTTCTGCTGAGTAGGTCGAACGGCACACCCTTGACTGTTTCTTTGAGATGAACTCAATCACTTGGATGTTATTAGCGCCTCGGACAGGAAAGCTTTTGTCCACTAAGGCCACAATTCCGCTGCGCACGGCCAAATGGTCTTGGCCGGACACCGCGATGAGTTTCCACGGTCTTTCTAATCGCTTGAACTTCATGGTCAAGGGCTTGGACTTGACATATGCCAAGACCCGATTGAGGCTCAAGATGTCCTGAACGGTGGGACGTTGAACGCAAGAACCGCAGCTTTGTCCGAGAATTTCAGCTTGTCTTCTGGAATCGGCCTCAATTCCGTTATGTAGTGCTGTTGGCTGATCGTGACAGATCCATCTGGCAGTCGATCGTGCTGGAGACCTAAATGCAAGAAGTTATCACGTTCTAACTTCACGGAATCGAACTGTGCTTCAAGCTTGTCAACAATGTCTTTCATGACTGATTCTTCGCCACACATCTTTATGTCATCAACATGTACACTGAGCATGGCCTGCAAGCGGCCACCCTTATGCAAGAAGTAAAGCTGTTGGTCAATTTGTGATGGAACCACGCCTATCCTAAGCAAAACACGTTTCAACGCTAGCGACCACAGCCTTGGTGCATCCTTAAGGCCGAAGCCTGGACGGAGCATAATGAGTACTTCGCTAGTTGCATCGAAATCATGGTAACCATCAATGGTTCTCAAAAGATGCTCACCACCTGGAGGAAGAGTGATCTCTACACTACGAAGCGCTTCTCCTTTCTCTGACAACTCCTCAAAGGTCAGGCCGCGGAGAAAGGCCTCGGAGATGTCTGCGGACCACAAGCTCCATTTCATCTGAACTGCAACTACGATTAACAATCGTTGACTCCATCTTGTGGATGTTCCTGCATACGTTTCAGTGCATTGTCTATCCAAAAACCCTTGAGCTACTAGCCGCGCTTTAACTTTACGAACCTTCTTACCAGTGCCTTCGGCTGCAATGTCTTTCCACTTAAGGACCCACTTACTTTTAAGAATATTAGTGGCTTTGGGCATTGGGCCTCTTTTCCAAGCACGATGTTTAATCCAACGCATGAGCTCCAACAACATGGCTTCACGACACTCTTCTAAACGCATTAGGGCTTCACTACGATCTAGGATTATTGGTTCGTTCGATGACTGCTGTCGGAGCCTGTCCACTGTCATAAGTAAAAATCACACTCTCATCTGCCTGTGTGACAGTATATGACAGAGACTCCGGCATGACAAAGCATCTTAGCATCAAACACGGCACCTCGAACTGTGGGCTTTCTTCAAGGAATGATGGATTAACCACCGCGTCAACTTCGACACCTGAGCTTTCTACATGAGGAGCGTTCACATTGAATACTGTGCTCGAGAAATATGTTCTACGGGTTGTGCATTCACTGTTGAAACGGTAGTGCTCCTCAGAATTCTCCTTGATGTTCGTTGTACTAAGATCCAAAGTTGAAGTCTGGACTTCACAAGGGCTCAGTCTTGACATGTGTGCGGTTTCCGAGGACTGTGATACAGAATCGTGCACCGACTCTGCTTTGGCAGACTTCGCAGGACGACTGCTGGGACTCTGAACTTCGGTTTGTACAGTGTCTTCGAGTGCACGTCTGTTCTGCAACTTAGTTACCTCATTAGTTTTATCTTTCGTTTGTGGCAAGTCTGGCTCACGAGAACCACCTAGATGCGGAATATCGGGGGCAACCTGACGAAGTGTCTCTACTTCTGTGGGATCTACCATCAAGAACTGTATGATGGACGAATGCTCGGAACCTGTGACCTTTGGAACATTCAAAACACGGTCTCCTGGGATGAAGCAATGGTACCATTGACCTATATCATGTTCATTCCACCACAAGAGCAGTGTGTCATCGAACGCTATTCCGGGAAGATTCACAACACCCGTGCCATATCGGAATCCAATGACTCCTTCAAGATGGAGACAACAGGCTGACACACAGAGACCGGCAGCAAGAACTGCGCTGTGCGTTTGATTGGCGTGGCACGGAATCCAGGTGGGTCCCTGCCGTATCCATCCAAGACGAAGGGCAACGCCAAACTGCGTTTCAACCTCTGCCTTCAAAAATTTGATGAGACCGGAGGGTTTCATCAATAACACAGTGTACATCAAAGCTCTTCTGCAATCTTGAACGCGAACCGCCAAAACACGGCCTTGCCACCTATAACATGCAACATGCCGTCAGACAAACTGGTCAGGTTTACTACTTCTGCTGGTCCGTGCCAACCCGAATGATCCTTAGTTACAGGTTTACGATAAAAATCAACCAAATCACCACATTTCAATTCGAGAAGTTCTCCGGCCCGACGAGTTTTGCTGTCATATGCAATCCTAGCTTTAGAATCACTAGTAGCTTGGATCATGCTACCGATTGCGATCTGTCGGATGCGAACAACTTCCCGATCCGATGGTGCTTCGCCCGATTCTTCTGAAACCGTTGTTAACAAAGGCGGGGTCCTACCAAACACTGCTTCGTACGGTGAGGCTCCACCACACTGAAACAGAGCATTTTTGGCAAATAAAGCCTCTGAAAGGATCATATCAAAGGTTGCCGGCAGGCCTTCTGCCGTTGTTTGATCTTCAATCAAGTGCAGCTGTCTGCGCAGAATTTCATTATGTCTTTCAATCATTCCGCAATGCTGCTCACGAGCGTGTAGGTGAAGTTGAATGCCTTTTGCGTCGAACCATCGGCCTGCTTCATCTCCCGTCAAACCACCTTCTTGATCTGACAGGACGTTGGATGGTGGGCCAAACAATCGAAGCCAAATGATACTGAACCCTTCAAGCAAGGACGTGGTGTGTCGGTCAGACAACACACATGCCGCAGACCATCGAGTGCAAACATCAATGCAATGCAGGATGACAAAAGCTTTAT